TGTCGTATATGAGGTCTGGATATTACCTGGCAATATCTGCATTTGCATTTAGTACATATTATGTCAATATTTGAAATTTTGTTTACTTCTTGTTACCAGATACGTAATAAAGACTAAATTTGATTCGGCTAAATATGTTTTAGGGTAAAAGGAAGAAAACACTATATATACACTTTATATCTATTTTACACAAGTTGAAATGTACTTTATTTACCTTATTATTAAGTTTAAAGTTAATTTGGATATCCCAAGATTTATAAAGATGGTATTCGAAAACGTACCTTAAATTGAAAATTTTTTCAACTTCCAATATGATTTGTTTGAAAGGGTATGAGGATTTGTATTTTGCATCTGTTTCTATTATGTGATTTGAAGGGGAAATTAACTTTCTTGAGAGGGAATAAGCTGGCCATAAAACATGACCAACGAAAATCACAATTTTGAATCTCACATTATAAACCTCTTTGATTTTACGGTGTTTTATACTTCTTCCTTTATCATGTTCATTTTAAAAGGTCGCTCCAAAGATATTCTATTTCCTTCTTCCCTAATTAAAATATGATATTTCGGATTTTTTTTTTAATTTTTATTTTTAAAATTAATATTTTAGATTTTATGAAGTCATTAGATTGTTTTATGTATTCAAAGTATGTGATATAATATGGTAATGTTTAGGAAATCCTCACAATAATTAACACCGTTGTTGCATGCAATATAGAAAAAGTACATGCTAAAACAATAAACGAAAACAAATATCTTAGACAGCAACCAACATCAATCACTAAACGATATGCTCCTGATTAGGAACGTCAACATAAACATTGTGGCAGGGCTACACAGGTGAGTGATCCATCATCTCCAACCCCTACCTAACCTTGGACAATGGTGTTACAGTATAGCATAAGAATAAACTGCACAAATCAGTTAATATATTTGATGAGGTTTTTTTTTGGAAAGGGGTTGACTAAATACAGCGGCACAAAGCATACAAATCAACTATGATGGAAAAAAAAACCAAAACACACAAAGTACTTATTCTAGAGCACTGGTAGAACGAAAAGCATTTTAATAAGCCCTGTTTTTCAAAATATGATGTCCTATTATAAATCGGCATATCGTTTTGTAGCAAACGCTTTAAAAGACCCACATAAAGGGTAAAGCACCGAAAGTTATATGCATATGAGGCCGATATTGTTTTCCTTGTATGCCGTGTATGAGGTTTGAGTACTAGTATGTACAGGCAATATCTGATTTGTACCAAGTCATGAATATGGCAGTTGTTTTCACTTGTTTAGTTGATTGCTAAAGCTTGATGTTGTCAGTTTTTATGGACTTCCCCTTTTTGAACTTGCCTTGGAGTTCGTTTTTTTTGTTATACTTCCTTAAACGAGTTAAGTATTAACGACCTAATTTGATTAAGTTACATATGTTTTAGGGTAAACGGAAGAACACACTTTAATGACAATTTATGTCTATTTCATGCAAGTTGAAATGCACTTTATTGACTAAATTATTAAGTATAACGTTCATTTGGATATCCTAAGAGTTATAAAGAAAGTATTCCAAAACGTATGTTGAAATGGTCATTTTTGAACTTTTAATATGATTTATTGGAAAGAAAATTTGTGTTTTGTATGTTTCATCGGTTTCTATCATCTCATTTTAAGGGGGGGGGGGGACTTTTTTGGAGATGAAACAAGCTGACTTTACAACATGAACAACGAAGATCAAAATTTTGAATATCACATTACAAAACTCTTTGATTTTACGTTGTTTTACCTCTTTTTTTCATGTTTATGTTAAACAGTTTTTTTTGTATAAATAATTTATGTTCGTTATTGCCTTTTGAATTAGAAAATAATACAAAAAAAACATATATTCTGTTTAATTCTGTTCAAATAATCAAATAATAGTATTATATTCCGCAACATTTTTGTAGAAACCATATCTCAGAATTTTGAAGTTATTTTGAAGACAATTTGATGACTTCACAGTATGCGATTTACTATAATATTAATGTTATCCTTACAATAATTAAAAAGGTTGTCACATACAGTCTAGATGAAGGACATGCTAAAAACAATAAACAAAAACAAAAATGTTGCAGACAGCAACCGATGTCAAGCACTAAATGACATGCTCCTGACTTAGGAAAGACAACAAATAGAATGTGGCGGGGTGTTTAAAAACGAAAACACTATATATACACTTTATGTCTATTTTACACAAGTTGAAATGTACTTTATTTACCTAATTATTAAGTTTAAAGTTAATTTGGATATCCCAAGATTTATAAAGATGGTATTCGAAAACGTACCTTAAATTGACAATTTTTTCAACTTCCAATATGATTTGTTTGAAAGGGTATGAGGATTTGTATTTTGCATCTGTTTCTATTATGTGATTTGAAGGGGAAATTAACTTTCTTGAGAGGGAATAAGCTGGCCATAAAACATGACCATCGAAAATCACAATTTTGAATCTCACATTATAAACCTCTTTGATTTTACGGTGTTTTATACTCCTTCCTTTATCATGTTCATTTTAAAAGGTCGCTCTAAAGATATTCTATTTCCTTCTTCCCTAATTAAAATATGATATTTCGGATTTTTTTTTTAATTTTTAAAATTAATATCTAAGATTTTATGAAGTCATTAGATTGTTTTATGTATTCAAAGTATGTGATATAATATGGTAATGTTTAGGAAATCCTCACAATAATTAACACCGTTGTTGCATGCAATATAGAAAAAGTACATGCTAAAACAATAAACGAAAACAAATATCTTAGACAGCAACCGACATCAACCACTAAACGATATGCTCCTGATTAGGAACGTCAACATAAACATTGTGGCAGGGCTACACAGGTGAGTGATCCATCATCTCCAACCCCTACCTAACCTTGGACAATGGTGTTACAGTAAAGCATAAGAATAAACTGCACAAATCAGTTAATATATTTGATGAGGTTTTTTTTTGGAAAGGGGTTGACTAAATACAGCGGCACAAAGCATACAAATCAACTATGATGGAAAAAAAAAACCAAAACACACAAAGTACTTATTCTAGAGCACTGGTAGAACGAAAAGCATTTTAATAAGCCCTGTTTTTCACAATATGATGTCCTATTATAAATCGGCATATCGTTTTGTAGCAAACGCTTTAAAAGACCCACATAAAGGGTAAAGCACCGAAAGTTATATGCATATGAGGCCGATATTGTTTTCCTTGTATGCCGTGTATGAGGTTTGAGTACTAGTATGTACAGGCAATATCTGATTTGTACCAAGTCATGAATATGGCAGTTGTTTTCACTTGTTCAGTTGATTGCTAGAGCTTGATGTTGTCAGTTTTTATAGACTTCCCCTTTTTTAACTTGCCTTGGAGTTCGGTATTTTTGTTATACTTCCTGAAACGAGTTAAGTATTAAAGACCTAATTTAATTAAGTTACATATGTTATAGGGTAAACGGAAGAACACACTTTAATGACAATTTATGTCTATTTCATACAAGTTGAAATGCACTTTTTTGACCAAATTATTAAGTATAACGTTCATTTGGATATCATAAGAGTTATAAAGAAAGTATTCCAAAACGTATGTTGAAATGGTCATTTTTGAACTTTTAATATGATTTATTGGAAAGAAAATTTGTGTTTTGTATGTTTCATCGCTTTCTGTTATCTCATTTTAAGGGGGAGACTTTTTTGGAGATGAAACAAGCTGACTTTACAACATGAACAACGAAGATAATAATTTTGAATATCACATTACAAAACTATTTGATTTTACGTTGTTTTACCTCTTTTTTTCATGTTTATGTTAAACAGTTATTTTTTGTATAAATAATTTATGTTCGTTATTGCCTTGTGAATTAGAACATAATACAAAAAAAAACATATATTCTGTTTATTTCTGTTCAAATAATCAAATAATAGTATTATATTCCGCAACATTTTTGTAGAAACCATATCTCAGAATTTTGAAGTTATTTTGAAGACAATTTGATGACTTCACAGTATGCGATTTACTATAATATTAATGTTATCCTTACAATAATTAAAAAGGTTGTCACATACAGTCTAGATGAAGGACATGCTAAAAACAATAAACAAAAACAAAAATGTTGCAGACAGCAACCGATGTCAAGCACTAAATGACATGCTCCTGACATAGGAAAGACAACAAATAGAATGTGGCGGTGTGTTTACACATGTGTGTAATCCACCATCTAAATATCCTCAATTACCTTGGGTAATGGTGTTACAGAATAAACTGTACACATCAGTAGGAAAGGATTTGATTCATTATATCGGCACGAAGCAGTAAAACAAACAAAATGAAAAGCAAAAAAATAAAATAAATGAAAATGAAAACTAAACACACACGCACACATCACATACATATCTTAGAGCATTGGTAGAACTAGTAACAAGTTCAATAAGCTCCGTTTTAAAACATTAAGTTTATACCTAAGTCATTAGTATAAAGGAATAACACTTAAAGTTATATGTATATGAATAAAAACTTTTGTCTTTGCTTTATTTTAGTACTTTGGACTGACTCACACAACTACAGTTGCTTGTTTGTAAACACGTTGCCTCTTGCTTCGGCTTATTGTTTGGCTATTAAAAAAACAGGATGCAATCTCTTATATTAATAAACTCCACAATTATTTTGACAGTTTTTATCAAATATTGAGGCAACAAGGTACGACCTTTTGTAAACAATTGTTGGTAACAAAATTCATACTGCTTACAAATTGAACATTTTCAAAAACAACTTTAAAACTTTTTATTATATTCAAACATCTCCTCCTTAAACATGATATAAAGAAGGAAGTAATCCTAAGCATCAAATCATTCGGTATTTGTTTTAAAATCAGATACAGATTTTATTTTAAATGAGAGGTATAATTGTTTATCTGAATATTTTTCATGTCGTCGTAATCGATTATTTCCGGTTACATAATATATCCTTTTCATCCAAGGACGACAGTCAGTGTTTATTGAGTTCACAATGGAGTTAATTCGAATTTTCTTGATAGTTAGTGTTGATTTGTATTGTGCGATGCTTGCGAATGGTGAGTAAAAATTTACGTATATCTAATATTTTGTGACGTCATATTCGCCAATGGATGACTAAACATTAATACAACAGTATTCTACCGATGTTAAGATCTTGTAATTTCGAAAGTATCCGGAAACATGCAAGATTTACCTAATGACATACTTTACGACTATCTTGCTATCATCTTGGGAAACATTTAGACTGTTAATCAAAGCTGTCCTAAGATATTGAGATATTAAAGAATACATAATGTATTTAACAATATTGTTAATAAAAAACAATCCAGAAAGAAAATAGAGAAAAGTAATCATTGTGAAGATGTTGTTTTAATTAATATTTGTTTACTGTAATGTATACAAAAAAGAGGCCGAACATACCAAGGGGACCTTCAAAACGCATAGATCACGGCAAAAAGAGAAAGAAGAAAAAAAACAAACACGTGCACAAAATACTTCATAGAAATGTTTTTTTTTAAATACTACGGCTTTTATGATTAAAATATAGAATTCAATTTGTATTTGTCTTACATGTGCATACCTGTATTTATACAGTGTACGCAATTCTTCCACGGGCCCTTTTCATGCCGATCAAAAGAAAAACTTAATTTCATCCATATTGATAATATAACATTTAATTTTGAAACGTTTGATGATTTCACTTAAACATTTTTGACATGTTAGTGTTACACGATAATTCCATGGGCGTATTTAAAACGGACACTACATATTTCACAAGTAGCTGTTGGCAATCTAGTTATCAATTTACTATCTGGTCTTAACACTTAATAAATGTCTTAATGTATAAAACAATGTTTTGATGATTGATAGAATTGTGTCTTAAGACTATTTTAGGACTTGTCTTAGTCCTACGATTCCTTCGAACACCAGGGCCCTGCTCCCCAAGATTAATTTATTATGACAATTTTAATTCTGCAATTTTGTTTTGCCTACACGCAATTGACGTTTATATTACAAACGAAACAAACATGTAAGAACGTAAAGTTTCCTTGGTTTAAATAAATGTAGTTTTTTGTTTTGAAATTAGGATATAACTTATTGTATACTTCGTAATGACTGATGATAGTCTTCACTTTGGCATAGATTTAAAATAAAATTTGGGGACTAGCGTTTCAATGCCTAATTGCCAGTTCAGCTGTTGTTAATAGTCAATTACTTATAATCGTGAGTAGGCGGCTTTGTTGTCTGTATCCAAAATTAAAGACACTTATGCTTATGAGAGGAATATTTATTGAACAATTAAAAATAAAATACGTTAACCATTTTCGTCTGCTTGGAATAAAAATGTTGTAAGAAGCATAAAAATATATTAAAAAGTCTTTTTCGATTTTATGCTATCGTTCAAATAAAAAAAAATTACAGTCAGTATCATACCTTTTATAGATTAGACCGTTGGTTTTCCCGTTTGAATAGTTTTACACTAGTAATTTTTGGGGCCCTTTATAGCTTGCTGTTCGGTGTGAGCCAAGGTTCCGTGTTGAAGACCGTACTTTGACCTATAATGGTTTACTTTTATAAATTTTGACTTGGATGTAGAGTTGTCTCATTGGCACTCATACCATATCTTCTTATATCTAAGAATTATGCTTTGGTTAGCTTTGACAATGCGAAATATTAACCTCGGTTGACGACTCAGTAAACTCCCTTTTTGGGTGGTGCAATATATGTATAACCTTGGCTACTATTTTTTCGCAAAATCAATACTAAATACAACATTATAAATAAATACAATATTCCGTTAATCATTTAAATGCAGTTTGATGCACGGAAAATAACAAAGAAAATATAACATGTTAAAATTCATAGGTTGCAATTTTCTATAATATCGTATTTAACTGAATCCAATAACACTAATAATTGTAATACTACAAATACATACTGCAGTAAAATAGTGTCATCCTAAACAGATGTTGAACATTTGTATACTTTAAAATGATATAAAATTTACATATTTAATTTGCAATACACTCGGACAGATAAATGAGCGCTACAGTAATGTATTGGTTCCTAACAACTAAACATGACACCCAGCTTAGCAATTACAGGAATATCGATAGACAAATACTGCATTAAGTATGAAACCCTGACGTATCTGTTCAGTTTCGAAAAAAAATAAGGATTTTGGTCAAACGATTGCAAAGTTCGGAAATCTTTAAAAACAATCTACAAAAAAAAAAGAAAATAAAAGTGCTGTCTGGTTAGATATGAGTTAATCTGTTCGATGTGAGCCAAGGCGCCGTGTTAATAGTGTAATACCACCATTGATTTTCCCCTATTAGTCTTTGTTAAATTTGCACTTTTAAAAAAATTGTGCAGAATTTATCTTTGTTTCAAATGAAAAAATACTTGGCATGAGTAAAGTTTTATCCTGTCCAGTACTATAGAAAAATTTCACATAACATTTCATTGCATATAAGAAAATAACCATCACTGGAAGTTAACCAATCAAATTTCCCCCCTTTTTTAACCTGTGTACAAGCTTTAATAACCATGTAACCTCAAGTTTCCAAAATATTCTATAGAAACCCCAAATAAAAAACAATGGTGCTTTGAAATACCCAAGATATATGTTTATGACCCAGAAATGTTTTGCTGCAATGAAATGTAGGATAAATTACCTACAACAGTCAAATTAAAGGGAATATTTTTTTCGTACTATGATTTGGTGGTATTACACCTAAAGAAGACTTTTTTTGTTAAATAAACTGAATGTGACTTTTTTCCTTTGTAATACTGGTTAATTCAAGCATTCCTGTTAAGTTTTGTCATAATCAGTTCAATAGTTTGAGAAAAATCTAGTATAATGTAAGACGACATCTACAACATTCGAGCAAAATTTCTTCGAAAAATCCAAACCAAGCAGTATCATGATAGAATATAGTGTGGACCAATAAATGATCAAATATTTATCTCATCTGCCCACAAACAGTTGAATATGATACAAGGATTACTTTTAGATGATAAATACTACTAATGGACTTCTTTGTCTTCCTTATAAGGTCTCTTTTGGTCTATTTATACCTCTCGTTTCCTCAAAATTTCTACTTCTTAGGTTAATAAATACAAATTTTGGGGTAACTTTCACTCATTAATGATAGAAATGTTATAATAAATGATTAATTGAAGTATTCAAGCTGAATGAACTATCCGTATAAGAGTTTACTGTCTCCAAAGAGGTTTCAATAAGTCCTTACGTGACACTTAAATTTACGCGGCGTTCCAGAAAGGGACATAAAAAGCTTCTCTTTTGGTGAATAATTTGTTGTTACTGCTTTAAAATTAATTTCATTTACTTCAAACTATATATTTATTAAAGTATTTCTTAGGAATAATTTTCTAGTATAGCAGAATATAAGAAATAAGGAGAAAAAGCTATCTAAACTCTAAGTATTGCTTGTTCTGTCAACTAATATTCATGGTAAAGTCCTATTTCAAGGTAATTTTCTCATAAAATGTGTTTTGGAGACTCAATCCACTCAGAATATTTCATTATTTGTAATATCTCACTTAAATAGCAAGAAATTTTAACACATGGGAGTACTCACAAGGTCAAAGGTGCATATACAGCTTCCCATATTAGGTGTAATACCACCATTGATTTTCCCCTATTAGTCTTTGATAAATTTGCACTTTTCAAAAAATTTTGCAGAATTTATCTTTGTTTCAAGTGAAGAAATACTTGGCATGAGTAAAGTTTTATCCTGTCCAGTACTATAGAAAAAATTTCACATAACATTTCATTGCATATAAGAAAATAACCATCACTGGAAGTTAACCAATCAAATTTCCCCCCTTTTTTAACCTGTGTACAAGATTTAGTAATCATGTAACCTCAAGTTTCCAAAATATTCTATAGAAACCCCAAATAAAAAAATAATGGTGCTTTGAAATACCAAAGATATATGTTTATGACCCAGAAATGTTTTACTGCAATGAAATGTAGGATCAATTACCTACAACAGTCAAATTCAAGGGAATATTTTTTTTCGACCTATTGTCGTATGCAACCGGATGTGACGTACTATGATTTGGTGGTATTACATCTGAAGGCCGTACTTTGACCTATAATGGTTTACTTTTACAATTTGTGACTTAGATGGAGAGTTGTCTCATTGGCACTCATACCACATCTTCTTATTTAACTTATATCTATTTATCGTTTCATATTCCGGATTGTTTTTACTTAGCAAACCCTATAATGGCAATGCCAGTCACGAATCTTTCTGACTATTCTGGAGAGTCCAAGATTATATATAAGAAAATAATCTTCAATAGTAAAAGATGCCTGAGAAATCACACCACAAAGGCAAGAAGTATAAAAATGGCTTACTTTAAAACTAAGCGTCGGAGAAAAAGAATTTAATTTCTCTTAATAATGTTTGATTGATCACGAAATCGAAAAAAGGTAAATGGTGTTTTCATTTACAACAACAATCCATGCACGCACGTCACCGTACATGTATCTCATTTCTTCTTTACAGTCAGGCATTCGGCTTGGAAACAAAGCTTTTACGCAATTGAAGGTTTAAGACGGCGTCAGGAAACTGGTTTGAGCGGAATTTTTGTTATATGTCTATCCTGTAGAATGAAGAACATCAATGAGGGTATCCTCATGAATATTAATTTGAAAGCTCATATTACATATTTTTCGAAACTAGATTAATGTGGTCGAATTTATCGAATGTCTTATTTGCACGTCATTGAATACTTAAATAAACGGACTGTTTCAAAATCCTTCATTATCTTTTAGGAAAGCCAGATCCACCAACAGATGTTCGAATAGATATAATTGATAATACTGCTAAAGTCTCATGGATAATACCTTTCAACCAAGGGGTAATGTATTCTCGGATTTATCTTAACAGTTCAAAAGAAGGCGACATGTTTTTAGATGAAAGAAAAAAAGAAAAAGATATACCATTTCCAGATTCCAGCTTTGAGATCGCAAATTTAAAGATGTGTTCAGAGTATTATGTCAGAATACAATCTATAAGTGGATCAAAAAATTCAGAATTCACCACACAAACGTTTTGGATGACAAGTGAGTTCATATGTCATTAAGACTTTGAATACAAATTGCTGTTGTCAATCAAACAGATAGAAGATGCGTTATTATGTTTTTATGGATGTTCGATCCCATGTTTCAAAAAAACAAGCTTTTTAAAAGACTGTTTTTAATTGATAGTATATAAATAACGAAATTTCAAAAGCACGAAAAAATGGCAAGTCCGTGTTCTTGTTTTTCAGATATAATTACTTAAAAATTTGGCAGGAAATGAGTATCTCTAGATTTTTCTTACGTTTAACTTTGGCACCTTTTTTCTTTCAAAAACTATGAAAAAATAATTAGCATTTTATAATATTTTCAAAAGTGGCTTTTTAAACTATACTTAATCAAATTTTGAAAAGAAAAGTAGAGGTTGGCAGGCTAAATTTTTATTGACACTACATTGAAAAAACTAGAGGGTTCCGAATATCTGACAAAAAGTGAAAAACAAGAGTAGCGAACAACCTTAAGTTACCGTCTGTAGCCGACAATATTTTGATTGTATACATTGAACTTGTATTTATAATAATTGGGTCATTTATATTCTTCAGTTGAGTCATATCTTATATTTTTATGAACTGATTGAAATTTTAGAAACGGTAAGGATTCATTCCTTTCAAAATATTAAAACGATTTATTTATATTTTGAAGACAACAATATTGGTGAAAAGATGAAATGTGGACGGTTGAGTCAATATCACATATATTCTATTACATCTCCAAAGGAGTGGCCAATTAAGTTTAAGGTCAAGTTATAGTATTCGGATCATGTGAAAGTTTTCGAAAAAAGATAAATAAATGCAATTTTTTTTTTTTTTTTTTTTTATAAAGTTTATTGAATAAATCTTTGGAAATTGATGAACTTTTCTATAGAAAGCTAAAACAATTGGAGGAAAACGTTCTTCAAATTGATATCTTTTTGGGGTTTGGTATTTATATATTTTGCAAATTTCTTTTTATCATAACTGATCAGTGTTCATTCAATATGAACATTTAATACGTTATGTATGTTGAAATAATATTTTGAGTTGGACAAAGCTTTGTTTGAAAAAAACCCAACTTATGGTACTTTTTTTAATGTATTATATGTATAAATGACAAGTGTTGCCGCTGAAAAACAGTTCAAGAAGCCTAAAAAGAGAAGCGAAAACTATTTAATAATATCTTTGCATATTGTTATAATAACAATTTTAAGCTTAGTGTAATTTCATTAATTATTAAATTATTTTCCTTACGAATCATACCACCACGTATAATACCGATTTTCGTGAACATAGCATTATTTTTTAACGTCTTGTCCTTTTCCTTAAAAAATCATCGGAAGATACCAAGACCGTGTTGATAAATATTCCATATCAACTTCACTAATAATACATGATAGTCTTGAAATATAGATTATAGGTAATGACTTTGTTTATCATCTTAATCACGTGTTATAGTGTTTTTTTTATTTGTCTTTGTATATTTTTAAACTTTACTGTTTAGTCCATTTTTGGTAATATACTTTTGGCGTGCCTCGGTATTTAAACATTTATACATTTATACATATACTATTATGTCTGTTTGTTTTGCTTGCACATTGTCAATATAATGAAATTCTATTCACTGTCATACAAGTGAGAGGTTTAGCTAGCTACAATGTATGAAACTAGGTTTATTCCACCACTATCTACATAAGGAAATGCCTGTACCAAGTCAGGAATATGACAGTTGTTTTCCATTCGTTTGATGTGTTTGAGCTTTTGATTTTGCCATTTGATAAGGGACTTTCCGTTTTGAATTTTCCTTGTAGTTCGGTATTTTTGCTATTTGACTTTGTTTTGTAAGGAAGTTAAATATGCTAATATTTGACAAAATTTGTTAATATTTTTTATATCTATTTTTCTTTAGGTATATGCATATGTTGTAATAAATTATTATAATTTCTTTCGTTTCTTCAATCCTCAATAGTTAGTTGGATTTTTGAATTTCAGTACCTTTTTATGAATTATAATTTTCAACAATTTGTTCATGACTTTCAGGATAAAAAAAATGTTTAAATCGAATATGTCCAAATTTTAAGATATACATTTACATTTTAAAAGATTATGTTAAGAGGTGAAGAGGGTGCAGTTTGATTAATACATATCAATGTAATCATAAAAATTAAAAAGATTTTAAATTGATAAGCCAAGTGTCAACATTAATAGTTCGATCTCAGCTATGATATGATCAATGCCATCTGCTCATCAGGGGGTAAATATTTCTATTTTCGAGCGGCATCTTTTTGAGCAGTGAAGAATATATGTAGCATACTAGGTCAGATAATGTTCACGGGTTGAAGGAAATCCGTATTGATGTTTAGCTCACGAGTTCAAAGGTCAAGTTCATAATAGCAATTGATAGGCTGGAGTAGACTGCCTGTCTAAATTTCACCAAACGTTTCTTGAAAATGCATCTAAGAAAGAACAAGACTCTTATTGATTTTGAGTCAGTTTTACAAATTCCAAAGTCTTATTGGCTAAACATAAACTAAAATCTTTAATTGATATACAACACAATGGAGTTTTGAGACACTACGTTTGTTACCAAACACCAGATATTAGGATTTCCGGAAGTAAAGTTTCAAGTCCCTAAAACTTTACTTCAGCAATTACCATCAATTGACAAAAAAAGGCAGCATTCGTGACAGAAATAAAGATAAAAAAATATATTCCACACAACAACTGATTCTACGACTACAGTTCCATAAAAACTTAGCTGAAACATGTAAAGCCGTGGTGCTGAGTTAACATATTTGATTTCTGATTATCTGTATGAGATGGACAGAACTATTCAATCATTGTTAAACATATAAAAGTCTTTTATAAAAATCGGATCTAAAACATTATTTTTAACATTCCAAAGAAAATACTTGCTGAATGGTTATATTAATATCAAAGCTACAAAAGGTTGTCAAAATGACAGCAAACGAAGTTTTTCTGACAATAACTAGTGTCATTGTTAACACAATCAAGGGCAAAAACTGCTGAAAGACAAAAGTGAAAATGTTCAACTATTCTTATCCTCAATTTTGTCATCAGTAACAACATATCAATTTTTAAGCAACATTGGTGAAATTAATTTCAAGTTATTGCACAGAAACAGCTGGAACCGTTCATCACCCATTTCCCGTCCGCTAGCCGTTATTCTCCAAAATGTTTTATTGAAAAGCACGTTTTAACGCAAATCTATTAAAGGAAGAGTTATTTTTTCCTCACCTGTAAAAGTTTTTCCCAACTGATTGTATATGCAAATGCAAATGTTTATAACATACTTGAAGATGACTAGTGTTTTGATATATGCAAAAATATTTTTGAAAAAATGAAATATTACAACTGAACGTATGAGCACACATACAATTTGTTTTTCTTAAATGCTGTTATCAAACATTGAACGTTTATTTGTTGTTTTTTTATGCATTTGAACTTTTGTTTTACCACAGTGACATCAAACATGGTTTGAAATCAGTTTTGTAAGGATATATCACACTGTTTAGTTTTTTTTCAGAGTTATGATCTCTAAGCCCTTCATATTATTTGGAATGCTTTCCGTGAAAGCACCTCCTTCAACAAACTTTGTACATTTATAAAATACGACCAGAAAGGTTCTCTTATTAATAGTAGTACCGTTCTGTTGTCCACTCTCGGATTATGCCAGTTTGTATAGAGATATATTTTATACTCTTCATTATTATTGAAATGATTACTGTATAAATGAAATTTTCATTTACATGCCTATCATTACAATATAAAACATTTATGTAACAAAGTTAGAAACCACAGATTACCATTCCCCGTTGGCATTGTATTTATATATTTAGTGAACCGTGAAATAAGAGTCAAACAATAGTTTGGTATATAATTATGGACGTGCACATAATAGTTAGCATGTATACAAAGTTTCCAGCTGTTGTGACCACAACATCATGGTAAGCTTACTACCTTTACCAAACACTTTGTTTTGAATCGAACAGATGCACAGATCGGAAATATAATGTCCCCTTTTCTATCACATGTAAGGATAAAAACAGAGATTTTGAATTGAAGCGTTTTTCCCTGCTTGACAGACAGTATAGGTACAACAACAAAATAATCATAAACCTGGTCATACGTTCTTGTGCTTCATGAAGACCTTTTTAATATTTCCGTTTCTATAAAGCATTTGCTAAGTGAATTCCATGGTAGAGCCATTATTGATCTACGGAAGTTTCATATTGAGGAACGAAATCATACACCGTTATAAATACTGTCAAAAAAAAAGCATGTGAAAACATTTTGTCTGTTTGCAAGAAATCGTAAATTATCTCCGCTTGTGGTGATTATGAATAGCCATCTTGTATCAGTAAGCATCGCAGTTATTTGTGTTTCTAAATTTTAGTTAATTAAATGGGATTGACCAAAGGAGAAAAGCATTTAAGATTTGTCGTTGAACAGTTGATAGAAAAAAGGGGGGATAAAGCAGTGATTAAAAACAACAACTTTATCAAATGTGAATAAAGAAATATATAACATTATGCTAAATATTTATCTTCATACGAAGTCTGTTAGCGCAAAGATCAACGTACTCGACAATGATTAATGGCATCATTAATTTATAAACGACCTTGGAAAAAATGGAAGTAAATTACGATCTTATAGAGAAGTTTTACGTGTTTGTCGTTTTGAACCGTATGTCTCAATTACGATACCTCGACAACATGGACGCGTTATGGTATTGTTCTATGTCGAATCACCATAGTTTACTCTGAAGACCATATCACTATTACTTGGTTTGTTTTGGGTGCAGTTTATAAAAGTATGTCGCTGACTAGGTTAGAAGGTCTGTCTTAAAGGTGCAGGACAATCTAAGTTCAAAGTTTCCTCTCCACCTACAATTATAAAAAGTTTTGTCAGATTCAGACCCATTGAATGCATTGACGTATATTAATTATGCTTGAAGGTCTGCAAACAAAATTAAGATAACAATTTTTTTGTTTTCAAAAAATTATCTTCAAATTCAAATGAGCAAGGTCGAGTCCGACTCAGATTATGGAATGCCTTGCAAGATATTGTTGCTGCTCACAGCCAGATGATCTGTTGCCAAACTATTTTGAGTATCTATTATCAAGCTTAAGTTCAAGGTCAACAAGTGGCGAATTTTTTGGATTAAGGTATCAGTAAATATCTCATCGTGACCTTCTTTAAAATAAATTTTTTGTTGTCTTATTTTCAAAGTTAGATGTTTTAATAAGATAAATTCAATTCATTAATACATCCATTATTAGTTTACTCTTCTATTTGCAATATTACAATTGTAATTCAATTTACAGACACCACATTTACTGCTGAAATTGACGAAAATGTTACTTTATCATGGAGGACCAGTTTGACCTATTTATATGTAGTTATGGGGCCCACGGGATTCACCTTATTTGAGGTACATTTTGACATGTTAATGTCTAATGTGGCTGAAGCAAAATACAAATTTGACGTCACGACACAGGATGTAAACACCATCAACATTACCGTTATCAATGTGAAGAAGACAGATGCTGGGCTATACCAATCAATCGATAGATATAGGAATAATAAAGTTAATGGATGCTGTGTTTTAGTTGTAACAAGTATGATATCAATATATAAATCTGATTAAAACCATTATATAAAAAATATCTGTCCACAGAATACGATAATTTACTTTATCGGCTATCCGTTTTCTGTTTTTAACAAAATAAGCGGTACCATAATACAGATCTATTGCATCATTCGGATATTTTAGGAAAGGAAAAGCTATGATAAGAGCCATTATTTCGCCTTTGCAAAAATTGTAAACTTATACAAGCCTGTCAAAATCATGTTAATTGTATTAATAAATGACCGGGTGAATATATGATGGACACTTCATTGTACAAGGTCACATGTAATTTCATTAGGACATCATAAACATATTGAATTTGACACATTTGACCAAAAATGTCCATTTTGCACAAAGGTTTTGAACAAACTTGGGGGAAATATCTTTATAGTCTATGCTATGACTAATATTTTATTCTGACAAAAAAAAAATTATGTACGAAATGGTAATATTATGTCAATTATGTCAATGTCTTCATGTTTGTGATCTTCAAGTGACAGCATTACCGGCATTTTCACACAAAAAATTAAGGTTTTATTCTCCTTTCCATTATCAATGAAATTTGAAACCAGCCTTTTTTCTTTATAAAATCTAGTTGATTTTAGATATAATTTTTCCCATTTTCAAATCTTTATTGTAGGACGCTTGTGAGACACTTGTATACTAAACGTTACCAGATTATTGTGATTTTTGTTTAAAATATATTCATTTATATATAGGACAAAGTTGATATTAAGAAAGTGTGAGAAATCGGAAATCTGTTATAGAATATATTTTTGATAATAAATAAATATAATATTTTACAAAAATACAAATTTAACGGCATTTTAATTGCTTTTGTAATATTTCAGCGAAACCAATGAATCCAATTTTAACCATTGATCCCGAGCAGCCATTCGTCAACAATAACATTTCCTTATCTTGTAATTCAATGGTTCAACGGTGGCCTAGAAACATACCATCAAAACTGTCATATCAGTATTTTGGAACTACAAGAGGAGATACCGACAACAATAAGCTAATATTACAATCACTTACAAAGTCAGATAAAGGAATAAACATATCATGTCAGGCAACTGATGATCTTGGAAATGTATCTAACATGAGTAAAAGTATTAGTTTGGATCCTTATTGTACGTATAATATAGTTGTATAAATATTCAATGTCAACTGTAGTGTGGTAGAAATTAGTGTCATTTCCATGCTTCAGGTATGGTTTATACTTTATTTGGCCTTTTTTAGTTTTTTGATTCGAGCGTCACGTATGAGTCTTTTGTAGAAGCAACGCGTTTCTGGGGTTCAAAATTTTAAGCCTGATATTTATGATGAGTTTATTCATAAATGTGTGGTATATGCTACAAGAAAAATCTATTACTCATTTAAAAAAGGCTCTTAACATAGTATTTTTATAACAGAAGTTTGTCTGGCAACCAACATAAATTTGCAAAAAATGTCAAATGCTGAAAAGTAATATTGTCTTTTGTTAAAGCTAACAAATTTTGAAACATAATACCAGTACAATAATACTGATAATGAATACTTCCAAAAAATTGTGAAATCTTAATTATTGCAAACATGAATCAACATGGTTGTTTTGCTGTAATGTCATATGTATATTACATTTTATCCGTTACTATGACATGTACCTTACGTTCTAAGGTATTTATATAGCACACTAACTAAATAGTTTACTAGTGGAGTATGAACATCTTACCTTTCAGGAGCACCAGCCGATTTATAATGCAGGTTTTGTTGATCGCTGTGTATTTTTTTTTTGTTACGGCAATCACCTTTAAATTGTAGCCAACAAAAGACACAGATCAATAATAAAATTTAACAAGATTTATTATACACAAGTTTACAAGAAGTAGTACACAATTTGTCAAATAGAAGTGTCAACTTAACTGTCAAAATATATGTCCGATCCTTTTGTCTTTTCTTTATCCGGAATTCTTCTCTTCACTGTTGTCGGAATCAAACAGAATGTTACGTCCAATAAGTCACAATCTAGTATGATGTAGTTAACGTAAATAAAAGTGTCAATCCAACATCTGAGAACACAAGAATGTCAATGTCTGATCTGCAATTTCGATATCTGTATATATAGTTATCACGGAAACTTCTAGAACACTGTAGAAAGGAAACCCCTAGAAAACTATAGAACGGAAACTTCTAGAACAATTCAGAAATTTAGATTACGCATCTTTTATTATGATCATTCTGGAATCGTCATGTAAGTAAAATACAAAGTTCTAATCGTTCTATCAGTATATATGATTGTTCTAGTGATTTATAAACTACACAGTTACACTATTTTTTTATTATTATAAATAGTATGTAAACATATTACAAGACCACACAAAACAAATTAGGCCAACTAAATAAATATGATATATAAATATCATAACACTTGATAAAATAATTTGAGAACGTTTGTTAGCCTTTTACTTTTATTACCTATGGTGTTAGCTGTCCTGCATCTGCTTCAATTATGAGTTGTCATTTATTCCTTGGTATAATCTTGTTAATTTTTTTCATTGAATGATTATTTTATGGTTTTTACTTAAAATAACAATATGCTATTTAACTGATATAGATGGTCCTGACATAGTTGTGCTGAAACCTGAATACACGGCTATCAATGTTACAGAAGGAACTATACTAGGCCCTATACATTGCACTGCCGATTGTAATCCGAAATGTATATTCAATTGGATATTTAGCACATCAAGACATTTTGAACTCGTCCATTCATATCAGATTCTAACTGTAGCTGACATAAAGAAGAATCAGACTGGGACCTACTGTTGCAGTATTGTTCATCCTTATGACATAAAAATTATGAGAAGAATAGATCTAGTAGTAAATGTACAGTGTAAGTATCGATTTATCTGTGGAATTTACTTTATAGAGTGCTTACTAAGGTTAACAAAACACGTCTTCCCTAAAAAAGAAAGAGAGAAAAAAAAAACCAAACCAAAGTTGACAATTATTTACCAAAAAATATTATTTTCTTAAATTATTAAATCGAAATATTTCCTTTTTTAACCTATACCTCAGCTTCATGGCGTCACTATCTATCTTGAAAATACAATAGACAAATATTCACAAAATTTCACAAGTTAATTAGCCATCCGGTGTAATTCATACATCACATATTAGGTCTTACATAACAAAGTAAGTTCCAGCAATGTCAGAGTTTGACACGCTTGAACCGTTAAACCTTTTACATGTTTAACGAATCCTTCAAACTCCGAAAAGGCAACCATATTCAATATGTTCAACGTTTGTCATTATCATTGATTCTTTTGATCATAGATCAACAAATGCGAGATACTTATCCAACTCAATTAATACAGAGAAGATGTGATCGAAGCAGGCGTCCGTATCTCTTGCAAAATCTTTGTCGCGCTAGCTAACACTAAGACATAAAACTTATTAACGTTTTACAAATTTTAACGTGTAGTTTGAGGATTTGATACTGACAATGACGCGGTCTCATTCAGTGGGCACAACAAACTGCATAAGTATGTATATGGATTAAATTAAAGGATTATTATTATGAGGTCACCATGATAAAAAAAAATAATATGGCGAAACAAATTGAAAATGGCAATATTGATTACGTGACCAGTAACGTAGGTAACGTTTAACTTTCTCTACAGACCTTAAGTCAAATAATGACCGCTTATGTTAATTACCTTGAGTGACTGGTAATTAAGTTAAATAGAAAAAAAAATATGTAAACAATATTCTTTAAAACGTTGCGAGTCATATAGAATCACACGTCCTATTGTTTAATTTACTTCACAAATTCCCAGAACGAATTATAATTAAAGCACACTCACGTTATTTCTTGTGATTTTTTTATTCGTGGATGTGGACTGGACATACAGTATCTATATACACATATGTTGTGCTATTGATTCGGTATAGTACTTGGTAGTAATCAAACCTTCAAAGTTGGTAAATTGTTTTGTGCGTTTTCTATGGTAGATAAAACAGATATGGTCTCAGCCTTCAACTAACATGATTTGTAAAGTCAAAAATGATAATAGTATATTGCAAAATAGATATTAACATCGTTTCCAAAGATTTCTAAGAAACATTTATTTCTGTTATTTATCTTAAGAAAATGTCAATAGATATCTTTATAAACTAAGCAATACGAAAATGAAATTTTAAAATCAAAATTTCTGTTTTGAGATGATTTAAAAATTCAAAGTAAACATTGAAATTAAGATATGAGAGGGAATCATTAATTAAATACGATGAATAACAATACAAATGCTCCAAAACTGTCTTATCCAATATAATATTAATAGCAGTCCCATGTTATACGATAAGTCTTAACTCATTGGTGGGAGTCGTTGCAACCATAAAATTTGTACATGTACAAACCTGTTTCATGACTTCACTAGTATTTGTCCTTACATTTGCTGAATAGTTATGCACGTCCAATATTTAATATGGGCACACATATCAGAGAATTTTAATTTAATCATTGTAAGTATAACGGAGTATTTTTACAGAATTAATCGGTGTGTAAATTCAGCCTTTCAGCCACGAACGTCGGGCTATATTTAGCTTATGAGAGAGTCGGTGGAGTTTACGCAATATAAAAACTGCGAAAAAACCTTTCTGTCTATGAAAATCACATGAAACCACTTTCGGTGTCGACCAAATCTATTTGGAAAATCGTTCTCTAGGTTCCATCAAGATAACCAGTTTCGACATTAAGATGCTTAATATATTTGAGATATCCTAAAAAAAAGGATCACAAATAGAAGAGCTAAAATCGTGTCTGGTCAATTACTGTAACAGTTCTAGTGTTCTAGTATGAGGGGGTTAAACCTTTGTGTATATACATACCGGTTATTTATTACTATTTCATTTACAAAACAGATACATCTTAAAAATGATGTATTAACCCAAATTAAGTAAACTAAGTTGATACAAGTAATTATGAAATATTGCATGTGTCGTTTCAGATTCCCCCAAAATTATAGAACTTTGGCTAAGTGATAAAAACGAACCTTATGAATGGAGTAACGGTACAATCCATAGTGTCAGTGAAGACGTAAATCTCAAGATAACATTGAGTATTGAAAGTAATCCAGATCCGCAAATAGTATTAAGCTCGTCTTTGATGAAGTTTCCACCATTACGTTATACGAAAAGAGGTATTGAGTTTTTATCAGAACTCCCTTCTCTTAAATGTGAAGATTCAGGAAACTTTACTATACAGGCTATCAATGGAATTAAATATGGAGATACTAGAACAGTAAACTTAATGATATATTGTAAGTATAATGACAGGAGGATATATCAGTATAGACTTTTAACGTATATAATATAACTGTTTCAGTTCTGTTATGAGACGAAGAACATTAACCAGCAAGGTTCCAAGTAATGCACTAGTCTAACATACGGCTAAATCATATACAATTCGAAAGCATATCATCTGTACTATTTGTTTTTGTATTTATCGTCAAATGATTGTACTATGAGCTTTAAGATAAAAAATCCATGCCGGACAACCTCTTTCTTCTCAAGATATCAACAATTTTGTATGTTCTGTCTCCTGAATATTTCAATAATGTATTAAAATGAGACAAATTTTAAAAGAAGGGATAAACAATCACTTTTAAAATATCATTGACGTAATTGCAATAAAAAAACGACTGTTTCCAGACATTTCAGTGAAAATTGTCGAAAACTAACATGCTTGTTTAAATGTGATGCTTCTTATATAGATAATGCATATTAAAAGGCTTTACTTTATGTATAACGTATCATGTTTTGTTTTTGGTTAATCGTTACTGTCCAAGGTGTGTTATACGACACAGCAAATGTTCATAATTTAAAATGTTGTTTACCTTTTTTAAATCTTAAAGTACATCAAATTTTGCATGAGGGGTTTAATGAATCAAACGCTTAGCACTTCTTTCATTCGTCCCTGAAGTATTTTTCTAAATTGTTCATACCCTTGTAGTTCATTAAGCTCAACTTTATAATTTGATTTCTGTTCCTGTTATTTTAACAACAGATAACATTATCAAGATTTAGACACGTCACATCAATATAATTCCCGCAATATTTAATGACGAACAATAAAGTGACGTTGTACTAGTGATTAGAATTAAGGAACATGCCCAACATCAAAAGGGAGATTTGTAAACCCTTCAGACGATTTTAGCTACATTTAATACCAAATAGGAATTCAGGGTTATGTAAACAAATGGCATTCAATGAGAAAACGTACAGCTTACAGATTAGTTTATAATTAAAAAAAATTTGCAGGTAAACCTCGGAATGTCATAGCAGACGTCAAGACAATAAAAACAAAAGTTAACAAAACTGAAAATATAGTAATGCAGACAGTTTCATTCCCTAAGCCAACTGTACTTTGGGCTCGTACGACTGGATTCGTCTGGATGGTTCAAAAAGATAGATATGATTACAGATATAGAATGTATTCTTCTATACATATTAAGTCGGAAGATGACTTTGGCGAATATGGAATACATGTATGCAATAGATTCGGATGTATTGTAGAAATTATCACTATAGCATATGAAGGTACTATATTATTATGCATCAATTTAACCATAGTTTTATGATCTTTACACAAACACAATCTGTTGTTCTTCTCATTGCTGATGATCGTCACGATAACATTGCCTGAACATGGAGGTGTATATAGTCTAAATAGCAATGATTTTGAATGTTGCTTTTATTTATTTTTTTTTGCAGTAATTCTTTTACCAAACGGAAAATTCAAATAGCATGTAATGATCTGAAGTTTATAAATTTATCAATTGTCGGGAATCTTACGAGTCAGAAAAGCGGTTCGGACGCATAAAATTCATAACGTGTTGTTTTCATTTTTTATGAGAACTTTTCTTTGTTTATATCTTATAAGTGTGTTTGCTCATACGCGGGCATGGGATATACTCAAGCATTAAAATTGAGAATGGAAATGGGGAATGTGTAAAACTGACAACAACCCGACCATAGAGCAGACAACAGCAGAAGGCCACCAATGGGTCTTCAATGCAGCGAGAAACTCCCGCACCCGGAGGCGTCCTTCAGCTGGCCCCTAAACAAATATGTATACTAGTTCAGTGATAATGGACGTCATACTAAACTCCAAATTATACACAAGAAACTAAAATTAAAAATGATACAAGACTAACAAAGGCCAGAGGCTCCTGACTTGGGACAGGCGCAAAAAATGCGGCGGAGTTAAAAAAGTTTTTTGAGATCTCAACCCTCCCCCTATACCTCTAGCCAATGTAGAAAAAACAAACGTACAACAGTACGCACAGTAAAACTCAGTTTAAGAGAAGTCTTAGTTTAAATAATTTATGGTATTTTAGAACTATGATAAATGATAAACTTTTTAACTGCATTTTAAGCTATAAGTTGTGCAAATTTCATCATTTTTTTCATGGTACGAAAATTTTACAGGGAAAAAGGTACCTTTATGATTATGTCATGAAGAAGAAAACTATCTGAAATGTGTTTTATTACTAGAGGATAGTAGAAAACTAAGAAAAACGTGTGTCACTGTAAACATTTTCTGTTTAATATTTTGATATTTGATATATAGTCTATCATACAAAGCTACATATAAACTCATCATAGATACAAGGCTTAAAATTTGTACGAGTACAGATCGAGATCCAGTTTCGTTCAGGTGCAGAGAGATTTTTTCGAAATTGTGACCATTGGAAAAAAGAAAATTACTTTAAAATCTAAGTTGTGCACATTTTTTTTTTTTGTGTAATGCTTATATCTTTTGGTTTGATGTTTCGTTCTTACTCATATCAAAAGAACGACTTTTGCCGATATTGTAATCCTTGAAAATCGAAAATTGCTTGGAAATCTAAACTTTTTAAACAGTTTTGTCTGTAACGCTGCTTCGTGTATCTAATAGCTATATATAGTTTGATATTCGGTATATAGTCATTTCATCAGATTTTTTTTGGCAAGTGAGCGATATGTACAAAAGTTGTTTGCTGGCGCATTCTGAAAGGAAAATTCCGTGAAAATCTCAATTTACCGCACTATCTCTTTTAATGTCTGAAGTAGATAAGTAGATATTTGTCCTACAATTTTTCAAAAAACTTTAAAGATAAAATTAAATACAGTTCCTATTGAACCATTTTTGACCAGCTACAATTAAATGCTTGTTACAAATAAGATCTTTTTCAAATTCCAATTTAGAAAAGGGAAGTTTGATAGTTTGCATTAAATTAATTTCAGTAATGTATATCAATGTGCTGTAATAGCTTCCTTCAGCTTGACCAATACTGAACTTATTCAGTAACAAGTTGACAAAGATAGAGGACTTCAGCTGCCGACTCTAATTACTACATGATATTTCGATTGTGCCATTTGAAAGGGGACTTTCCGTTTTGAATTTTCCTTGGAGTTCGGTATTTTTGTTATTTTACTTTTTTTCATCACTCACAACGAAAATGTGCTGTCTATTAAAGCAGATATGTATCAATACTTTTTAGACAGCTTATAAATAGCCGGTAATAAAATCCATAAACACATATGTAGCGAGTTTGAATATTGTGTCACCTTTGATATAAATGGATTTATTAAAAGGTAAAGTATTCATTAATATCAAAGCAACGAAATACAACATGAAAGTTGATTTCATACTTATAAAAAAGTACGAAAGATTAGCAATGTACAACATGTTACACACTTTAATTTCAAATGTATCATTCTAACATGTATTTGTATCGCATTGTATGTCCAAAAGATGATGCTGGAACAGCCAAAAACGAAGACCAAGGAATGTTTGCAGCGGGAATAACAACTTTAATATTTGGTTTGATAGCCTTAATTCCTGGAACATTTTTCGCTATTCGCAAGTGTGAGTCATATGTATCATAGTTACTATGGAAGGCCTATCTATAGTATAGTATTTCAACATTTTTGCTACTCATATGTATATTAATTCTTGTTGAATTGCCTGTTGTCCTTCGAAAATGTATCCTATTGAAATGTTTCAGCGTTTGCTAATGTTGGTACGGTACTAGCATGAAAATATGGATTTTCTGTTAAAATTTGCTGTTCCGAAATGTTTTTTAACAAGCTCTGGATTTGCAAATAGTTTGGCCTCGAGCTTCAGCGAAGAGACATTTATTGTCGAAATGTGCATCTGGTGCTGAAAAATTGGTACCGCTAATGAATTATTCAGTATAAAAACATATATTAAGTTGTTACGTATTTTTTAACAAAGGTTTTTATAATATCAGGTCGAGGCAAAATATTCCTTCTGTTAAATGCAAAGAAGCGTAAAACGAGAATCTGCATCAGCATACATGTAATGGAATGTATGCCAAAGGTACATCAAAAACAAAATGAACATCATCACTTTAAACCAATCAATGGTTATTAGTAAAACACGATCAGCTTATTAATAAGAAGTAGGTTTTACTGTCAATTTTCTCAGTATTTAGTGTTTGTGTAATTTATTTTTGATTGTTTGCTTGCAGTATCCCTTGATCATATGTTTTGTCAGCGGATGTTGTTTGATTGCACAACTGATACCTGCACCCAGTATTTCTATCATGTCCTTCATTTTTTGATCAATTATTTTACACATAGCTTTTTAGACCTGATTTACATATGGATTTTTAAGATTTTTAAAATGTTTTATAGATATTTTTTTCCAGAACGTCATAGTGTCAAATGTATTGGTTTATCCGTCTATGTATTTCAGGTTTGAAAACCATGAAAAAAATATCAGTTCAGTAGGTATTATATATACAGTATCTCAGACTTCATATTTACACCCGATACCGCCCACAGTAACATACAATATGAAGCATTGTGCGGAATAAACGTATGCCAAAAAAACCAAAGGTAAAATAAACTCAACATATTTTCAAATGAATTACTGGTCTAGAACGACTAAAGACGTTACAGGATATGTTTTCATTGATATTTCACAAGCTTAACATTGTCTTGCTGATTTCATGAAGCGACCCATGAAGGTTTTCGACTGAAGACATGCTCTTAAACATATCTCTGGATTTACCCGGTTTTTAGATCATCATTTGATCAAACATGGGTCAGGTGATATATAAAATCATACAAAAAACAAAGAAATCAGTACAGAAAAGGCACTGAACTATTTTATGATAATTTAATGGACGTATAAACTAAAACAACAAATACTTCAAAATAAAAATAACCATTTTTCCGAAACATCTAGTAAAAATTGAAAATATTTCTAAAAAAAAAAAAAGTCTTTGTTATTTATTTGTAAATCATCTGAAACTTCATGTACTCATCAATTCAATGTAACGGATGTTTATATGCATCAATTATTTATGGTAATCACAATCATTGACATAACCAATCATAAAATGATTTGCGATAGTGATCATACACTTACGAATTATTTTGCAAATGTGCATTCAGTAACAAAAACGAATAATGTGAAATCGCAGTATATATCAAACTCATCAACTACTAAAAGTTGTTTTTATGAATTATTTTTGTTATATATAGATCTGATGAATATACTGATGTGACGAGAAGAAATCCAGCATTTTCAGATCAATATTCTAGCTTGCAGCCTCAATCAGGTATGTTTCACAAATGAGTATTTCATTCATGACATAAAAGACTAGACCATCATTTTGCATATTCATTGCAGTATTTATCTAGTTTACTATTTTGATTCGATCGCAACTATGAAGTCTTATGTAGATTAAATGCTCATAAGGTATATACAATTTATTTTCGTATGATCACGCAGAATTATTCGGTTTATAAAAATTCACAATCTACCTATTTGAATAAATAATCATGTTTCTGCTTATTAAAGAATTGAGTTACATTCATCTCGAGACATCTGCAGTCGAATTAAAATCAAAATCCTTTTTTTTTTTTTTGAAAGATCATGAATAGGTCAAAGTTGATTTGGTATATTTTACTGCATTTACGAGAAGCTGTATTAGCCTCTGTTAAATAACCCAAATACAATAAACAATTCAATTTCCTGACTTCACTAACTATAATATTCATGTTATTACAACTTATTGTTCAATTAAAAATTTATCATAAAATAAACAATACAAAGAATTTGAAGACTTTATGGACTTTATTGACCGATGGTTTTCTTTATCCACAATAAGGACGTTATCTAATTTAAAATCAGCAAATAAACGTAGTTAAGCATATCTAAAAAAAAATTCCTCGGTGTGGGATAAATACGATGAACAATTTGCAACAAGCCTCTAGCACCCTTTTCAAAACATTATCTTCTGAGGATATCGTATGTGCTTTTTTCCTGCAAAGACATCTGATAGGAACTTAATGTTTTAACCGTCCATTACTGCTGCATAGTCCAGTCATCCCTTGACTGCAACGACCGTAAGTTAAGAAGAAAAAGCACCAGTTCGTCAACAATTTAACATACTTCCGCTTCTAAAAATCTAACATGTTAGGTTGACTTTATTCAATATTATTGCAAAAAGAAAACATTTAGATGATCAATGAGTATGAATAATTGGGGACTAAATGCTTTTTTTATTTTACAGAATCAAGACCTCTTCAAGAGCCCAGGTAATTATAAAAAAATCATATAATATAAAAACGTTCATGTGGTAACACTTGACAGCACCTTCATATGATAAATGTATCATGCAAAAACAAATAAATTTGTTTCCAATGATAACCTTGTAATTTCACACCTACTTAAAAAGATATTTTTTGTATCTAGTAAATATAGATTGATTGATTTGACGTACCGAAGAAAAAAAATCTAAAACGGTGGTAAATGAAACAATTTTATTCACCACGGTTTTAGGTGTTTTTTTTTTCAGTACGTCAAATCAATCAATCTATATTTACTAGCTAAAAAATCTATTTTACACTAAAGAGAAAACGAGCAAAAAAACCGTAATATACCAATGTTACGATTCTAGAATTACCTTCATCAGGAACTTGAGAGACCAAATAATTTTGCATCTCAAAAAAATATGCATAAACAATTTGAAAAATTTGAGAAAGTTCTGATAACATAAGGTACATTCTTAGTAACGCAATTTGTAACTAGCGCGGCAAACATATTCGTTTTATCACATTAGGAGGATTACAATGAAATTATAAACAGTAAGCTGGAAGTGTACAGTGTGTATTGCTGCTTTTTCGTTAAATTTGATCTAAAAGAAAGATCGAGATCATCAATAAAAAATGCGTAAAATAAACATTGTTAAACCTCGAGAAAATATTTTGCCTTTAAAATCGTTAAATAAAAACTCCGCGAAAATACACCACTTTACAAAATGAACATGTTTCATGTTAATTCTCAACGTACCTCAAGGAGTGGATGGTATCATGCAATGCTCTTGTCACTCTGTTCCTACGTCCATTTATATGTTAGTTACACCGTCCGTCAATTCGATCATTGCTTCGGTACGGATTACTAAGCCTCTGTGTTAAACACTATTATATAATTGTCTAGAATTATGTGATGTACAGTTGAGACGTGTTAACAATTTTGTAATCTGCCTCGTAACCTCTTTCTTTTGTAACGGTACAATGATGTATTTTGCAAATGAAGTATTAAGTTATGAGTTTTTTCGTATTTTTTTTTTTCCTTTCTGTTTAATGGACTTTGTTATAATCTTGAACTCAATAACATTGATATGTACCATTTAACCGATTTTCTGCTAATATCAGTATGAATGAACTTTGAAATGTTTTAAACATACATTCAGGATTTGTTTTCTTCATAATTTTCATTTACAAATAGTCTTATTTGATATTTGGCGTGGAACTTGGAAAATTGGGTTGTTCCATGTGAACTAATTTCATATCTGCCAGAGCGTCACTATCTATCGAACGATATTTTCAATCGCACATGCATTAAAACCACCAGACTTGATGTTTTCGGTTACACATCCCCAAGTTTCTCTGTATTGGATTTATTTGATTTTTGTGGTTGAATTTTGTAAATGCTTTGTTGAAACTTGTAAGGAGATCTGCTTCCATGTATGTCCTAATTTACAAAACTTTGAATTTTTAGTATTCGCATACATCTTGTGCAACTGTTTGTTTTTAGTTTTCATGTTATTACTTTTTTTCTTCTCGAATATTTGTATACAATATTGGACTATAGTAAATATATATGAATATATCTAACAGTAATGATACATATGAAGAATGTGGAATAACACCTGAGTCGGATGTCTATCAAAATATTGAAGAGGGGTGAGTAATTACTTGCTTCGAACACATAATGAAACATTCAAAATTAGATGATGGAGCGATACATCTATACATACATGTACATGCACCCATTAAGCATTTGTAATATTTTAATTTGTTTTATATTATTATTTTGGATGTTTTCTGGTAAACAGGAGATAACTGTTGAGTTATGTCATATTGGACACATATTATAATAGCATACAACGTTCAATACTTTAATCATGTACAAGTAACGTGTTTCCCCTGGTGCATCTGTTCTATTTATCTAAGTTTCGAACAAAAAACAATCATGTTGTTTACAAACCATACCAACCACTAACACCATGATTCTCCACTAAAAAAGATTAACAAACCAAGACAAACAACATACAACACATGGTTCAGATAGTCTGCATTGGTACAAGAACAGCATGTCGAAAGGTCATTCAAGTTTAACGAGCGCACAACCAACCCTTTTGCCTATATAAAAAGTAAAACATACAAAACAATCACACAGTCCATGTACCAACAGGTTAAACATTAAGCGGAACAAGGCATCAAAAGACATCAAATGATTTTCATAGCAAAATCAAAATGTACTCCCTTGACATTGGAGTTTTACCAGCTACTGCATATGACATTGAAATCATACAGCGACTGCACCCGAATGCATAAACACGGAAATAGAGGTTGGCATGCTATTACGACATAATTGTCATAATGTGATCGATAAAACAAAGAGTGAAAAGCTAAGGTAGCCATAAAAGATATTGTTTGAATGATATTGTCATGTTCATTGCATTTAAACTAGCTACTTTACTAGTACTGACTTTGCAGATACACCACGGCTAAGGTAGACATCATTTAGATATTTTATATAAATTAAACTCTTTCCCGTTTTCTTTTCATTTGCATGAAATGTCTAGATGGGTTTAAACTTCTTCTTCTTAGAACACTTTCTAAATGCATGAACGTTTAATTGCACAGACGTAGAAATAAAAAAATGATACATATACTAAATTTTATTTAACTTTATATATATATGTACATTAGATGTGAAAAGGTTTTACGAATTTGTTAATAAAGTTTTTTTACTGTCTTCACTATGTGAATCAAAATATATTTTCAGATCGGGAAAAGAGAAAAAAAAACACCAACCAGATGATGAGTGCTGAAATGAAGATTTAGCCGTTCGCTAAGGATATTGATTTCAGTTTTGATATATACTTCTGTAATCAGTTAAACAATATGTTATTTAATGATCTGTGTCCTTCCAGGTGAATGGTATACTATTCTGTGTGTTATTTAGGTATCTGATATTTTAGATATGATGTTAAAAGATACATCAAAAGACAAAAAAAGAAAATCGGAAATGGGATAATGGCAAAAGAAATTGATCTTCCGCGGACATATTTGGATAGTTATTTTAACGCTTCCTTGTAATAAATTTATTTCGTGAAAAGGTGACTGACATTTCTCTGCGTTTACCGAACTTTTTCCTTTATCTTCATGCAAAGTCAAATTCAAAATGAATTTCTTCAATTTTAAATGAAATCAAAATCATCAAAAAGACACAAGCATATATTTAATTTTTGGATGATACCCTGCATGAACATTTTCATATGGAGGAAAGGCAAACAACATTAGTTTGGTCATGTACCTTCTACAAAAATTGGGACGTCCACTAAATTAGGTACAACATTTCATCATTCGTTTGTGATCGTGTGATGAATTCCAAACTAAAGGTTTTACAGTATATTCATTCAGATGACACCAATACCACTAGTTTTGATGGCTTAAACATTTTGCTTGTTATTTCATCTTTTTGATTTGGTTACTGGTTGTTATATGAATTTCTATTTATCTTCATTGTCTTGTCAATCGCCATGCTTGTTTTACAATAGTACTTAGACATGTACTAAATTTCTACACTAATATGAGTATCTGTCTTAGATGAATATTTATTTTATTTAATGAAAATAATGTATGTACATTTGTAAGTAAGGTTAAAAATATAGTAGATATATGTGACTTCCAAAATTTGGAATAATTAAAGTAATTTAAAAGACAAATTGAATACAAGCTTAAGTTCTTTACAACTGTTTTTTTTTAAATCAAATTACTCACAAAAACATGTGTAAAAGTCCCCAACAACGTGTACAGTAAGGAACACATTTTTGAAGGAAGAATTGAAATTTGAAGTATATTAAGAGATCTTGAATCTGCATGCAAATACTATTTGATGGAGATTTAGATCTAGAATTACATACCATAGACCCCCAATAGAAAAAGGGAGATTTCATAACGTTGATAGAAATGATAAAACATTTCATCTACGGATTTGAGACGAATTCCATTATCTAGTAGTATTTTAGCGACAGTAGGAAATAGTTATCGGAGATATGAAATACTAATTGGCACATACAATCATATAATTACATAATGCGCCAGTAAAACAAAACTCGTAAGTATAAAGATTATGTTAGTCTATCAAATACGAGTCGGTTCTGTTGGTTAAACTGTAACTTGTATTGAAACCACTGTAATGTATGTACATGTTTGTACATAAATCACATTTTTGTAAATGTGCTGCTACCCTCTGTACATTTGTATCTTCAATGGAAATAAAGTATAAAGATATTGCATTTTATTTATACTTAATGTTTAACAATGAAACAATTTAATGACTAACACCTATTTTACACGAGGGTCTTAATCGAGAAGGTGTCTTCAATTCTGTATTCTTAAATGCTATAGAACCATTATCTGTATTATTTAATTTTCTAGATCCATTTTCTGTATTATTTATGTTTTCTCACCTATTAGTCTCTATACTTTACATTTTTGCACCCACTTCCTTTATTCAATATGTTTCACCAATAAGCTCTATACTTTATAGTTTAAAACCTATTTTTCTCTACTCGGTTTGTCCATTGTTTTCCATGCAAGAAACCCTTTCCAGAATCAATAACTTGACAACAACAATAGGAATACAGTTTAGCTCAACATGTGTTAACCTCTTTTAGCTGTACAAACTCATCTGAAATTAATTCAAATGTAAATATGTTCCATCTCCCATAAAAATGCACTAAATTTATATATAGGTGTTGAAAGGTCGAACACTTAAGTATAACTTATGAAGCTTCTGATACCTAAGAACGTTATTTTATTTATCGACAGAGAATAAATGGATAAAACCGATTTAGTATGTCAGCGTCTCAAATCACGATAGACATGTTTGCATTGTCTTTGGACTATATCCATCATGTACGTAGAAAAGTCGTCTAATCGAATACGAGGTATCGATGCATGAGGTATGAGGTTTAATTGTTTTTCTGAATACTATGATGTAACAATACATCAGCAAAGTATACTACCCTTCTAGGGCAAATATTACTTTTATTGCAATCGTACCTGCAACTGCAAATACGAATAAAAGTAAGTCATGAAACTGGTAGAAAACACAGCCTCTAATAAACAGGTTTACATTTGCATACAGTTGTTGCTTTCGAATACATAAAACACAAATTTATCAATTGACAAAGCGTGGAGTTAGAAGCATAGTTTGTTGACTGTTTAATTCTGTTAAATCGAAAAAAAATTGTCATTTTAGTTGAAAATTAACAACCATTACAAAGCTCATTATAATCCATTATCAGATTTAGAGAAGCATGTTTGACGGGTTTCATATTTTTTGTTGAATAACTGCAACATAAACTAGGTAAATGTCATAGCTGTTTTTAGGAAATTATTGTTTTTTTCAAAGGGAAACTATACTTGAGTATATAAACGGAGGGAACGACAGTATGACGTGAACTTTGCAAATTATAAAAGGATGATGATATACCAAGATGTTGAATGGTACTTTATCCACTCAAAAGTTAGGGAAAAGTTTCAAGAAATTTTGAATACTTATTTTTAATTCGTTTCCGTGAACATGAAAACTTTTGATTTCTCAAAATACAAAGGATTTTCTATCCAAGTAATGGATTACCTTAACTGTATTTAGCAAAAGTTTTAGGAATTTTGGGTTCTCAATGCTTTTCAACTTTGTACTTCATTTGATTTGACCTTTTTAACTTTTTTGATTCGAGTGTCATTGATGGGTATTGTTTTAGACGAAACGCGCATCTAGCGTACAAAATTTCAATCCTGGTATCTATGATGAGTTTATTTACTTGGGTCTGAATGTTTTGTAACTTTTGACTCAATATTGACCCTTACATTCTTATATGGTTCTTAATTCGGCTGAAAGACTATTTGCCAATTCAAATCTTTTTAAAAACAATTATCCATCTCTTCTACACTAGCTGTTTTTCCGTTGCCAGTTTAAGACTGGTTTTTAATAGGCCAAAATGCAAAGCATGATAAGTTGTTGGTATATGTAATTGTTTAATCCAAACTTTAGTATCGAAAGTTTTAGCTCTAAAAAAGATTAAAACATTAAATTTACATACATAACGCACGGTCAAATTTGCCAATTTCGCTAGCATTGTAAATGAAAATGTATGCCGTCCTAGAGAAACGACTCGTTCTAATGAATCTCTATTCATATGGTCAATTAAAGAATTGGCAAACAGACTATTTCCCTGTTGGTTCGGTTGTTGTCGATTGTTGCTGTCTATCGTGTTTTGTTTTTGTTTGTTGTGCCGCAGTTTTTTTCTGGTACGACCTACATGTACGTGCCGGGCTGGACAGCCTGGATTCATAGACTTTGAAGCTTCCTTTTTTCATGTTTTCTTGCTATTTGATGTGTTTTTTCTCACAAACTTGGCCTCCGTCGGGTAATTTTGTCCAATGTAACTTTAATCTGTCTAACTATATGGTCCCCTTCAGAAGTTAAAATATTCATATGTTAGTCTATGATACTTAACATATGACTGTTGCAATTTTTTCTGTGCGTTAAGTAGGTTTTGAAACATGTTAACAGGCGTAGGTAATCCCAATAACTGGAATATTATATCTGTCCAGAGGTTCTCTAGTTCCTGACGTAACTCGTCATGTTTTTTTGATAAGATTCCTTAGCCTCTTATATTCGTCTATTTTTAGTTTCTGATCTGGAATTCCCATCTAAATGTTTGGTACGAGTGCCGTCTTACCGTTCCCTGCTACCTGGAACTATGTTGTCAATCAACTAATGGATGGCTAGATTACAGGTCAATTGTTATTCTAAAATTGGCTCAGTCGTTGTTATAGTTGACTGGGACATACAAACAGCACTGCGTAATGTAAAAGTAACAGATACGGACGTTGCTTCGTTAAATTGCATTCATACGGGTAACGTATAGGCTGACTTTTTATGTATTGCATGTATCGATGGTGTGGTAATGCTCTACGCTTAGACAAGCGACATTTACTAGTTCTCTATTGTATGAAGCCTAATCGATGAATTTGAACCATCAACGTAATTCAAACGGAATAATATTGCAGATTTCACTAATAAAGCAGGAACTGCAGAGAGTTACTCAGCATCTAGACGAAACCTTCGGTTTTTAGTAGGAATAGTGTGGGAGAGTCCGTAGATTTTAGTTAATTGTTTATATTTTGTTCTCTGTCTGCTTTTATGTTTTTCGATCATGTTATATCTTCTATTGGATCTTTTTTTCAATCAGAGGATTTATTCATACGAAATAGCAAGACGAAGCAAAAATGAATTAAATGATATTAATAGAATACATATTCCAACAACAAAACGTTTTTGTTTATATAATCACTATTATTTAATAAGCCATTACAGAAAATAAACTTGTAGCGCTTCCATATAGATTTGGACAAACTACTATTGCTTACCTTTCCCATTTAACGCACTAACCATTCATCTTTTAAGAGGATATAGGTTTTTAAATAAATTGTTTAATTACGAATTTCCTGAGGAAAAAGGTACCAGAATGGAAGCGGTCAACCAGTTTGTTCTCATTTCAAATTAGAAAAAAAAATTAAACATCGTGCTTCAAAAACTATTTCTTGGTTTCGTATGCTATCGGAAAACCCTCATTTACCCTAAAAAATGAATGGTCGGTGCATTATTGTATTGTGCAGTTAACCAAGTGAAATGCGTTTAATAAATTCATCTAGAACCTAGTTGATTTATGACTTATTCAATTGCTTGCTGGTTGTAGAAAAATTTGTTTTTCTTCAAAACAATATATCAATTCAAATCCAAATTTAAAGGCAAAACTTTAATGGTTTGTATAGATGTTTGTTTGTTTACCAGAATGATTCTTTAAGTTTAAAATCGACAGCAATCTTTTGAACTGCTTTATAAAAACATGTTAACTGCAATCATACTCTAATTTTATAGTTGATTAACATCTTCTAGAAATAAACAAAAATATGCATTTCTTGTCTTTTAATTCTTTCTTATAATTATCAGAATTATGATTGTCTCTGCTTCTGGTGTTTTCTGAACTTTATCAGTTGTCATAACACTTTTTGTGTTACAAATAAGAATAAAAACAAAGAAATATTTATTCCATTACGACAACATTAAAATAAACAGAACTGACCCAAAGTGCTGATTGACAGTATATATAATACTAGCCTTTCACCTCGAGGCTTGTGCATCTATATATTCCTACATGTAATTGTACACGCACATGTATAAAATTAGAGTTTTTTTTAGGAATAATGAATAATTTACATTTGTATTATTAGTGTATGCTGAAAGATTAAAAGTCTTTAAAAATATATTAGAATTATTGTTATTGGCGGAACACACCTTACTTCTGCGCATTTTTTAAAAGCGAACATTTCAAAAAATTGTATACCGTTGTATGTTCGGCAATTGCATGTTATTATTTTCTTTGTGTTGTGACCTTCCTTTTACGCGGATTATAGTTCATTATAAGATTGATAGCGTCTTTCTACTATATTTCTGTATTTTTGAATATGTTTACAAGTTATTTTATTTTTCACTTTCAGACCATAGACCTTTATTATAATTATAAATACGAATGAACAGCAAATCGTAGATTCTGCGTGCGATTACACTTGCTGTTTGAATTTTTTTACCAGGGATCCTCTGCGCTAAATGTTTGGATAGTCGACAGACAGTAACGTTTGCTGTCATTTAAAAGTTTTATTGTTAAATGATGAAATGATTGGGAACAAAGTGTCTAATAAGACCATAACATACATCTATTCTAGATTTTTCGATGAGCCATCGTCAAGAACGCTTACGGAGAGCTAATCAACAAGACAGATGAACATTTGTTTTCAAAATTTTGCAACCTATGTTGTTTCTGAATAAAAAAAAATGGCTGTAATAAGAGCATTTCCTTTTATATAAACAGGACTTACTTAACTATTGGCATACATAGTCCTGCAGTAGTGGTTTTTACCAGATGGTGGTAAACTTACTGTTAACGTTTTTCTATGTTTTTATGCAACTTCATCTTTTGTTTTAAACTTATCAACATAAACAAATAAACAAAACATTTTTCAATGTTGCAAAATGAAGAAAAATTGTTGTAATCACATTTCTGCATGTTTAACTAAATTTTCTCGATTTTTTTTTTGACATTATATTGACATAGATTGTGACATCTTTTTTTTGTTTGTTTTGTACGCGAGGGTGCCTTTTAGGATCGAACAGCTATATACTGCTGTTGCCTTTATTTTTCCTTATTGCT